CAAACTACAAGAGGCGATCGCCAGCGCTGTCCTTCTACAAGTTTACTTCAGCCTAATTACCTACTACTAGTGCGATTCCGACGTCTTATAGGTGCAGCGAAAAGGAAGAGTGGACGTTACAGAATGCTTCAGTCTCTTCCATGCTTTCATGTGTGATCATCTCACTCACCTCTGGAAGAACTTTGGCCACTTAGGATTCAGCGCTGCAAATGGCTCCTCGTCCGAGGGCTTGAAAACGGCGATGTTCTCCAAGTTCTCGTCGCGAACATAGTAGGACCCTGAATAAGCGGTCCAAGCGGAAAAATCTAATCTAAGCACAGATCTTTTTGTTTTGGGCAGTTCCCTCTGAATACTAGTTCCATGTGAATTCGCTTTCATGTGCAGTGGACAGAGCGAAAATAGCTTCAATGGTAGATTTTTCGATAGTCTTCTGGAGGCGCAGTCAACACTGGACACGTGAGCAACCGCTGTTCCTTCCTCATAAGTCCGCTCCAGAGGGAAAAGAGCAAGGATGCGCCACTGAGGAGCTGTTGAGGCTGGGGTGGCCTGCGCCGCAGACTGCAATGGATGGGAAGCGTGGTAGATCGTTATTCTTTTAGTCTGCTCGAGACACCCACCCCGGGCTCAATCAATACACCCACCCCGGGCTCAATCAATTCATGTTCGTCCTTCCCTGTCCCAATAGTCCAGTACGCAGGTGCAGAGATTGTCGCACTTTCACGACTTCACCGTAAGAGATGAGGGTGAGGCAGCCGTCACAAGTCCAAGTTCTAACACCCGCTCAGTTGGACCCCCTACCCAGTTTCTTCCTCGTTGCACTTACCGCAGGGCGCTTCAATTGCTAGTTGATTCAACGGGGCGGCATAAATCCAGAAGGTCCCTCTGTCTGATGAGTAATAATTGCGCTCTTCTTTATTATCTTTTTCCATTAAGAACCCATGTAGTCAAAAGCAATTCATCTCGCAAGGTAAAGCGCATCCAATACACCAGTGATGAAATGGTATCGTGCAATAGTCCGACGAACAGCCTGTTTCTCAAAGCCCAGATCTGCACAACACGTAGACGAAGGCTATTTTCTGTCACGAGTTTCGTTTCTACATGGAGTTTTTCGTTGTTTTGTTTCGCTGTCGAATGGCATTCAGCACTGGATGACCACAAAAGACGATTAGAGAACCAGGAGCGACAGGCGATCACTTGCTGGATTGAATGGATTAGCTCCGAAGAACCGATACACTGAAGCTGCCAGCGGTTGCTCACTACGGATGTTCGTGATGTCTTTTCCGCTTTTTTGTTTTTTTTTCTTCCTAGAGAGTGTCTTAGCGGCTATAGGTCCGTAAGTGAGCGCCCACAATGTTCAATCGCGCGGTTTGTCTGGGAGCAGGGTTTAGGCTTTGAGGACTTTTTCTTGAGCACTTTCGTTCAATAACCAGATGTCGGGGCTTCTGCCCAACGCTACAATCCTGCTCTGCACCTGAACTTCCCTCTGGAATCAACACGGGATGAATGCCTTTCCTCATAGCTTCTTGTGCTCTGAAGAAGGTCTGCTTGAATTCTTCATCACCATGGAATGGTCTGTAAAGTTGAAAGGAAAACTGGAATATTTCAGGTGCTCGTGAAAACAAAGGTGCGTACTTGGACTCTGACATGACGTAGTCGCATGACTTTAGATTGTCTGTTGATACGGAAATGAAAGAATGTTCCTCCTGAGTGTTCGTATGAACAAAGGACTTCAGTGGCGATGTTTGTTGTATAGATTTTACGGTCATATAGTTTAGTGCTGAAATAAAAGAAAGTGACTTACATTGGAAATCAAAGGGGACTCCAGTCCATAATAGATCTGCAGTCTGACTCGCTATGTTCAAGGAGATTGGCACGATAAACCGACAAGGATCAATTCTTAGCAGAAAGAACGTTGTGCCTCTGAGCAGGCGCTGCGTGTTGCCTTTTCCAACGAGAGCCACCGTATATCGCTAAAGCGCTAATCAAGGTGCAACATGCCGACCCAGACGCCCAACGCAGCAACCCGCCCACAAGTAACCCCACAGTTACATCGACACTGGTGCACGTCGCTTCATTTACTAGGTTGGTGGAAGAGTTCTGCCTAATTTTTTTCAAATTATGTTCTCTTTTTGTGAAGAGGAGGGTAAGATCAGAAACGTATGTATAGCAATGTCATTGCAGCACTCCTGCCAGTTTTTGAGCACTAAATCGAGATTGTTACATTATGAAGTCTCCGGAGCGACCGCCAACTTGGACATCATCTCGACTCTTGACCTAGGCTTCGGAGTCGTTAAATTCTTTAGTTTTGATAAAGGTAAAATACGCTAGTTGTTGGATAGGGCAATGTTTGGGGTGCACTGGTGCAAAGGAAGAGCCATACAGCTCTCGTGCATGAGGTTCAGCTCGACTTTTTTGGACGGGGTAGGCTGCACTGTCAGTGTGCGGGCAAATGTTTCCCTCTGATCGACACTTCGCCCCGAATCTTGCAGCTGCTTTTTGCAGGGATTGACCGTGGAACCAGCTTCATCATCCAGTAGCTTCAGTAGCCGCAGCTCCCTTACGCGGAGCTCACATGGTCATTCAGATCTCACTTCTTCTTCAAAACTGTGTGTATGCTCCCGTTTTGGAGCATTAGTCGTGGAAGATTGTCCGATGATTGGTAGCATCGTCCTTATGCAGCTCCACTATTTTGGCATCGGCAACTCTCAGGCTGTCGACGGGGTGGTGAAAAAAAGTTAGAGAGAGCTCTTCAAGGATCGCTGCCAATGGGTACAAGATTCCATACCTGTCCATATGGCAAAAGAAGAAATAGGTGTCAAGCGAGTGGAACTAATAGGAATAGCATTTCCTTGGGTGTTACTGCTCACATTATCGATCACCCCTTTTCAGGTAATTGGCAAGTATTTTGAGCTCAAAAAACTATGACAGAACTTTTCCTCCAATTTATGTAATATGAAATACGATATGTGGTAGTTGATATGTAGCATTGGTGCATTGATATGTACAGGGAGGGGGCAAAAAAGTCACTTTCCTTCATTGACTTTGGAGGCGCTATAAGTTACACTTTATAAATTCTGATCGGACATTTCTACCACCATATTAAAGAGCATATTAAATACTACCAGTCGGATCGCCCGGCTGTCGCCGGGCGCTCCTCCTTCTGTGACATGGCCCGGCCCGGGCCATGCGGATTTGCCGCGTGCTAAGTTAAGGATCGTTGACCAACCACACTGTTCAAAGGAATCTTCTGCATCAGCCAAGAACTGAAAAGCAGCGCTTGTTCCGTCAAGGCGCAGAAGCAGCA